GACGGGTGGTTGTTCCTTAAGGAGACAATCCTCCGAGCTCAGAGGGAGTCAGTCCCAATGTGAACCAAAGGGGGTAAGAGTGCTAAAAAGCCCCCTTGGCTCAGTAAAGGAATCCAGGACGGCCTGAGGGCAAAAAAAGGTGGCATACAATCAGTGGAAGCAAGAAGCTATCACCAAAGAGGACTACACCTCCATCAGTCATGACTGTAGGGAGGCTGTTAGGAAGGCCCAGGCAGAGACGGAACTAGGGCTGGTGACCAGAATTAAGGATAACAAAAAGTCCTTTTTCAAATACATAGGGAGTAAGAAGGCGGCACCAGGTAACATGGGGCCCCTATAGGACAGGCTTGGCAATCTGGTGATTGAGCTATCACCAAAGAGGACTACACCTCCATCAGTCATGACTGTAGGGAGGCTGTTAGGAAGGCCCAGGCAGAGACGGAACTAGGGCTGGTGACCAGAATTAAGGATAACAAAAAGTCCTTTTTCAAATACATAGGGAGTAAGAAGGCGGCACCAGGTAACATGGGGCCCCTATAGGACAGGCTTGGCAATCTGGTGATTGCAGCAAAGGAAAAAGCTGATCTCTTCAACGAGTTCTTTGCCCCTATATTTCTGAGCAGGGACCAAGACAACTCCCCCACTAGGATTATGGACAGGCTTAGGGGACACGACGATCTAGTTAGGGAACTTTTGGAGGGGCTGGATGTGTTTAAAATCAGCAGGTCCAGATGCTCTTCACCCGAGGGCACTGAGGGAATTGGCAGAGGTCACAGCAGGGCCCCTGGCACAACAGTATGAGCACACATGGTGCTCTGGCCAGGTCCCAGAGAACTGGAAAAGGGCTAATGTGGTCCCCATTTACAAGAAGGGGAGAAAGGAGGACCCAGGTAACTATAGGCCTCAGTCCTTGGGAAGACCTTTGAGAAGTCCTAGGTCTTACCTCAGTCCTTGGGAAGACCTTTGAGAAAATTATCAAGGAGCACATCCTTCAGGGGCTAAGCATGGGAGGTAATGCTCAGGGGAAACCAGCACAGGTTCACTGCGGGCAGATCCTGCCTGACTACCCTTGTTTCCTTTTACAACCAGGTTACAAAGTCCTTGGATGTGGGCACTGAGGTGGATGTCATCTACTTGGACTTCAAGAAGGCCTTTGACACTTTTTCTCATGCCATTCTCTTGAAAAACTAGACGACTGAGGCATGGATGCCTACACAGTCAGATGGGTGGCAAATTGGCTAGATGATTGCACCAAGAGAGTGGTGGTGGACGGGTCATTTTTGACCTGAAGGGATGTGGGCTGTGGAGTTCCCCAGAGCTCAGTCCTCGGGCCTGCGCTATTCAACATCTTTATCAGTGACTTGGAAGCGGGTGTGGAAAGCATGCTGTCCAAATTTGCTGATGACACAAAGATGTGGGGAGAAGTGGGCATACTGGAGGGGAGGGACAGAATTCAGCTAGATCTAGACAGGTTACAGCGGTGGGTGGATGAGAATAGAATGGAATTCAACGAAGACAAGTACAAGGTGCTACATCTAGGGAGAAGGAACCTGCAACATATATATCTATAGGCTGGGGAACACCCTCCTCAACAACACAGTGGCTGAAAGAGATCTTGGAGTCATTGTGGACTCCAGGATAGACATGAGCTGCCAATGAGAGGAAGCAGTTAGTAAGGCTAACCACACCTTGTTGGGCATCTACAGATGCATCACAAGCAGGTCCAGGGAGGTGATCCTTCCCCTCTATGCAGCCCTGGTCAGGCCGCAGTTGGAGTACTGCATCCAGTTCTGGGCACCACACTTCAAGAGGGATGTGGCTAACCTTGAGAGTGTCCAGAGGAGGGCCATTCACATGGTCAGGGGGCAGCAGACCAGGCCCTCCGAAGATAGATTACAGGACCTGAATCTATTCAGCCTCCACAAGAGAAGACTGAGAAGGGATCTGGTGGCCATCTATAAACTCACCAGGGGGGACCAGCAGAAAATAAATGAGGCTCTGTTCCCCTGGGTACCACCTGGGATAACAAGAAATAATGGCCACAAATTGATTGAGAGTAGGTTCAAGCTTGACATCAGGAGGCATTACTTTATGGTTCATGCCATCAGGCTCTGGAATGGGCTCCCAAGGGAGGTGGTGCTCTCCTCTACTTTGGGAGTCTTCAAGAGGGGGTTGGATAGATATCTGGCTGGGGTATTATAATCCCAGTGCTTGTTTCTGCCCAGGGCAGGGGGTCGGACTTGATGATCTGTTCAGGTCCCTTCCAACCCTAGAAACTATGAATCTGGTTTAAACCTGTAACAGAAGAGATGTTCAGTGCACATAAACCACTTTGAAAATGGCAGAAACTGGTTTGAAATAAACCTAGTTGAATGTGGTATCAGACTTAACTGATTTGGCTCAAACTGGTTTATGCAATGTCTGCCCCAGACCCCTTGCTGGTTTAAGATGAATCAGATTTACATTTGATCTAGCAGTGTAAGTCATCCTTCTCAAGCTGTGTTAAAAATCTCACTGCTTCTTCCCACTTAAGATCATAGAATCTTAGAAAAATTATGGTTGGAAGGGACCTCAGGTACATTTGATCTAGCAGTGTAAGTCATCCTTCTCAAGCTGTGTTAAAAATCTCACTGCTTCTTCCCACTTAAGATCATAGAATCTTAGAAAAATTATGGTTGGAAGGGACCTCAGGAGGTCATGCAGTCCAACCCTCTGCTCAAAGCAGGACCATCCCCAACTAGACCCTCTCTGGATAGCCTGTTCCAGTGCTTAACTACCCTTCTGGTGAGTAAACTTTTTTTAATATCTAACCTAAACTTCCCTTGCTGCTACTTGAGACTATTGGTCCTTGTTCTGCCATCTGCCATCACTAAGAACAGTCTACTCCATCCTCTTCAGAACCACTTTTCAGGTAGTTAAAGGCTGCTATTAAGTCCCACCTCAGTTGTCTCTTCACCAGACTAAATAAGTCCAGTTCCCTCAGCTTCTCCTCAGAAGTCATGTGCCCCAGCATCCTATCCATTTGTTGCCCTTCACTGGACTCTCTCCCAGGTGTCCACATGCTTTCTGTAGTGGGGGGCCCAAAACTGTTCACAGTACTCCAGATGTGGCCTCACCAGCATGAAAGCAGGGGGAAAGAATCACTGCTGGCTATCTGCCGGCAACATTGCTGCTAATGCAGTCCAGTATGTCCTTAGCCTTTTTCAAAACCCATTAGCCTTCTTCACAACACAGGCACACTGTTTGCTCATATTCAGCTTATTGTCCACTGTAACCTCCAGGTCCTTCTCTGAAGAGCAGCTGCTTAGCCAGTCAGTCCCCAGCCTGTACCAGTGTATGGGACTGTTCCGCCCTAAACACAGGACTTTGTACTTTTCCTTATTGAACTTCATGAGATGTTCTTTGGTTTAATTTTCCAATTTGTCTAGGTCTCTCTGGTGTATAGTTGCATTGCCCTTTTCTCATTTTTCCAACTTTATACACTCCATTGTGCAACAGAGGAACACCCTATAAATAGGCCAGCTCAATGTCCAACTTCAAATCTCTCCTTAACTCATTTCTATTACCATGCCTACAAACAACGGTTACTATCTGGTATGCTGTGTCCATGCTGATAAGTATCATCATTGCCATAAGCATCCCACATCTGTGTAGTGCTCTGTATGTTCTCTCATCTTGGATGGCAAGCTCTTGGGGCAGAAGGTATCTGTTTGTGGGTTTGTTAGCAGTACACCAATAAAGATTTTCTTGGCGGATACTGAAAGCCAATGATTAATCAACCATCTTGGCCAATGCCAATCCGATAACTGACAAACCTTTTGTTTGTTTGTTTATTTTGTATTTATAAAAAAATAATTAAAGTGTTCACTGAGGACCTATATAATCCAACGCAATTTTTTTTTCTCTTCAGACACAAAGGAAAAGAAAAAATGAATAAGATGCATGTGTAAGAGGCAAAGTTAAAAGCTATGCAGACTATACATTTTACTAGTATGTAAAAAGCATTCTGACCTGTTGTGGTCCGAGTTCTTTGCAAGAGAAGAATTGCTCTATTATCTTTCCATAGCCAAAAATAGTGTGAAAACTCAGGGAAAAATGAAAACTAAGAGTTGCCCGAAGTCTAAAAAGGTCAAGAACGGTTATTCTAGGATCTGAAGGGAGTCTGTTAAGGTCTGCTGTATATTTCTAAAACACATACCATAAATAAGAGCTATAAGAGGCTATTTGAAAATTACTTACGCAATGTGATCTAATTTGGACAAAAACAGAGCCATCAAATGGCTTCTATGTATATGCACAGGCCATAAAAAAAAAAAAAAAGTTCAATACCATTCTTTTAAAAATTTAACCCTGACCGTTATTAACTGATTAGGAAGAAAAGAAAAAAAAAAAGGTCAGCTGATGCCTGGGGACACATCTTCTGGCTGAAATATATTACAGCTATACCATCCAACAATAGAACAGAACAGCAGCAATGGTGAGGGAAAAAGAAAGAATACGTAGTGAAATGCTGATACTGCTTACTCAATGACCAAATATCAGCAAAACTAGCAAATAAGGCACAGAAAATATTTCTGAGTGCCATTGTTGCTTCCTAATGCATTCTGAAAAACACATCAAGTACAAAACACTGCCTAGACCAGTGATTCTTAATCAGGGTGGTAAGCATCTCTGGGGTACCACTAGCTCTTTTGAAAGTGCCTTAAGGTATGAGGAGGTAAGTGCAGGCTCAGGCTCATTCCTGCCTAGCTACTACCTGCCCCCACTGCTTGGCTTCTCTATAGAGAGGTAAGCACTGTAATAAATTAGTTCTTGAAATGGGGTGCTGCTCAATCCACAAGTTACAAAGAAGTGCCTCAAGTCAAAGAAGGCTGAGAACCACTGTGCTAGATGACGGAGTGGCCATATGTTCAACTGAAAATCTAAAACTGAAAAGGTTACTTAATAAATAAAGTGCTAAATAGCAACAAGATGTTAATTACTACACCAATTTCACTTACCTTTGCCTTAAATATGGAAACTGGTGGCTTTGCACAGGATGGCTTTGTGCTTGTAGAAGGCTGCGATGCCTCACCCCATCAGAACTAGTATTCAGAGACACAGATGATGTTTCTTGACTTGTGGGTGATGGAGTAGTTGATCCTGAATGTTCGGAGTTCTTAAAATACAAGCACAACTTTCTTTAATATTTTTCATCACACTTACAAGATTCAGTACTTTAAGCACTAGGTATGTAATTACTCAAATGAGTATTTTCTTTCACTGCAAAAATATTTAACAGACATCACAAAAAGAAACACTTACAGACTTGGTCTCACTGCTCTACAAAAGAATTAAAATCACCCAGGAATTTATACGGCAGGTGGAAAAATGTTCCATCATAGCCAGCCACCAGGAGAATGTCTAATAAATGTATGATAATGTTACCTTTGATAAATACCAAACTGTAACAGTAGGCATTAAAAAACAGCATCTATATGGCAAAAATCCCCTTCAACAATAACTCCAGAGTGCAGAAGTTACTGACTTAGCAACACATTCTTTACATAGCTGTAAGTGAACATAAATATGCTTATCACATATGCCCAAAAAAGGAAGAGTTTTATGTACTAAAGGAAATAATGGAAGAGTGGAGGGGGGGGGGGGGGGGGGGGGGGTGATTTTTTGCAATGGATTTTTACATGTCCTCTCCCCTTCCTTCCCCCCACAAACAGATTAGGAATTTACCACTGTATATTAACTTGATCTTGATCTAAAAAAATACTTTTCAGTTACATGCACTGTTTATAATTCTAGTTTCCTCTGTAATGGTTTTATGTATTTCAAATATAAGTAGTAACAAATGTAAAACTTCTAATGAGAAAGGTTTACGACAGCATTCAAACACTGATCAAGCTATAGAGCCACATGACAATCTGATTGAGGTTATATTGTATGGATTAAATGCAGATTCGTCAAAGAGAAAACAAACTTGGCCTCAGAGAGGAGGGGAGAATAAAGAAAATAGCTGATCACTGTAAAAGTGCATTTTTTTGCTTGCTCAGATTTGTTTGAAATATCCTTTATTAGAGCAACTACAGTTGAGAGAGAGATTAGACAAGCTGCAAGGAAGGTCATTTTGGCCCCCAAAGCTTGTCTAATCTCTCTCCCAACTTTATAGCTGGTCTAATAAAAAAGGTATTGCCAAACAAATCCTGGTTCCTGCATATCCCATATCCCCTGAACCATCACAGCTATAACACTCCTGCTTTTTCTTGCTGGCAGTTAAGGGAACAAGTGACACACACTGGGCGCGTCCACACATGCAAGCATGTGCGCTTGTAGCAACTCAAATAGAAGTGATGTAAATTTGAGCCAGGGCTTTTTGCCTCAGCACATGTGCCCAGATATGCATTTTGGTGCGGGGCAAATTGTGCCACTTGAGGCAAAATAACCCTGCCTGGCTCCTCCTGGATCTGTAACCAGGGGGAGCTACAGCCTGGGGCCAGTACCTGTGCTGTCCCCAGCAGTATAAAAAGCCACCCTGTCCTGGCCCCATCAGTATAAAAAGCTGCCCTGGCAGGTAGCTCAGGGTTATTCACTCTCAGGAACTTCTGAGGCCCAGCCACCTGGTACCTGGGGACACTACCCCTTGTGCCAGCTGGACTGCTGAAGCAGCCCTGAGAGTTCCTCAGGGTTCCCTGCCCCCTTTACCCACTGCAGCAGTCTGGCAGTGGGGGCTGCTGCCTGGCTGTGACCTGCTGCACACCTGCCAGACCCAGATGGGGACTGCAGAGCCAGTAGAGGCATCTGCCCCTCTGGGCCAGCTGCCAGTGGACTGTGGCTGCTGGGTTGGCTTGTGTGCAGCACTACTGTCATATGTGCCCCTGCCCGGCCATCTGGACAGCTATTGCCCAGAAGATGTTCCCAGTGTGGTGGCCTGCTTCAAACTGTCAAAACATGTCCTCCTGGCACCAACTGGCCAGGAGGTCAGCCACAGCCAACTGGGTCCAAGGTGCCAGCTCTGAGCAGGCAGAGTCCTGCCACTGGCCTCCCTAGCAGCAATTCTAGTGTTCCCTATTGGAAAACTGAAAAATCCCTGATAAAAAAATCCCAAAGTCACTCTGTAAAATACCCCGAAATCCATGTTCCTCCACAATTAAAACAAAAACACCACTATATACACACACAGAGAGGGGGAGATCAGTTGGGCAAAGTTTTATTGCTATATCTACAGTGTTAAAGCAATTTGGAAGCGCAGCGGTGCCTCTATCATCAGAATAAAATGAATCTTAAATACCTATATGTTTTCAGGCCCTCCACTGGGGGCTACAGCCCCCTACTGGGGGCCAAAGCTCCCCACCAGGGGCCAAGCAGCCCCCACAGGGGCTACCACCCCTTCCCCCCTGCTCCCCC